TTTGTATCTATATTATTTATAATAAATTAAATATATTTTTAAAAAATCCAGGGGAAAAAATCAGATATCAGCTAATAACAGATAAAAATATGTATTTTGAGTATTGAGTATGAGTATTTTAAGAATTAAAATAGCATTTTTTTCTATTAAGAATGCATTTTATATATTTTTGGAGTGTTTATTATTTATATATGAAACTGAATATTTATTGAATATAAGATTAAATTATTCAATATTTAAAAATACTGGATGTTTAATTGGTTTTAACTATTTTAAGAATGAGATAATCATTAACTTAAAGGGATGGGCCTAAATTATGAAAAGAAAACATTTAAATCACTAGAAAATACTATAAACTGAGTATAAAATATAAATGATCGGCTTATGGCATTCAGTAATTTAAATACTGTGCACAATTTAATATCATACCCTGCACAAACTGATCAAATGTATACCTTCAATGCAAATTGTCCTCATTTAAATAAAACGATAATGGGCATTGAGCGTTATGGACATCACAAACTGGAAGGAACTTTATCAACAGAAAAAAATACTATGGTTTTTGGATGCTACTATATGCTAGAAAAAAAAACGTACCATGTAAATACTGTACCATGCTACGTATATGAATACAACACAAAAAAACACCCTGGTACCAACATTTTTTGGCAGTACCATGGTATTCTTGTAAGTAATCTGGGATACCAAGTAAATAACATGGTACATTTAAAAGTACCATAGTATAACCATCTGTTACTCTAGCATCACTGCACAGCAGCACAGCCACGGTTCTTTGCAGTAAAGACTGTACCAGAGAGTTACATTCACAAGACGATGTTGGGAAAATCTGGTTTCAGATTTCTCTTTTCTCCATCTATTCTGCCCATCTTTCTGTCAGGCATACAGCCTTTCTCTCTCTCCCTCCGCTCTGTTTGTTCAGTGGTCCCTCTGTACCTCTCCGCCTTTGTCAGGGCTAATGTTCTCAAATGGAGGGAAATTAAAGCAGGGAAGCCATGCGTGTCGCACACTAACTCTTCCCCCTGCGGACCTATTGGTTCGCAGCATGCATACTGATGAAGGCACACAGTTCAACATCTCCTTCACACCTCTGAGAGGAACCAGCTCGCTCTACACCGTCACACGCATGAAATACACATGCAGAACACAGAGAGACAATCTGAGTTACTGAGGTATACATATACACAAACACACATCAGTATAGGACGTCTGCTGCACATAAAATGCCACCTACAACTTTAGGTCTGAATCTGATCTGAATGTCTGGGATTCAAATTTTAATTTAAATTTGGAAATAAAGGAAGTTTGAAGGTTTAAATACAAAAACAAATGAATTGCAAAAGGTCAGATGTTTTTTGCTTTCACAGGAGCACTACTGAACACACATATGCTTTCTATTTCTTGACCTTTCTCTCTTCTACCTTCTCAAACACTCACATACAAACACAAAAACATACAGCACACCCAGACTGAATGTGGGGCTTCAGCGGGAGGCATGACAGTGTTGATTTGTGAGGTTTCCTGCTGCAGTGCTGTGCGCAGACAGAGAGAGAGATGTAAGAAGATGTGAGAATGTAAGATCTAAGCAAGCATGCGTGGGTGTTTGGGTGAGCAGATGTGTCAGAACTGCACAATTAATAAAATAAAGAAATTCTGCCCCTGAACTCAGAGCACAAATAAACTGAACAGAACTCAAAGTTGGACCATTTTACCTCGACACGCCATAGACTAAATACACAGCACTCATGGAGTGAGACGTTATAAAACAAAGAGAAGAGGCTCATCTGTATGTGTACATAGACCAACAACAATCTCTCTGTATTAATATGATTGATTGTAAAGTGCCATTTAGCTTGGAAAAGGCACTGTATAGAAAATATTATTAAACAAAAAAATCTTGTAAACAGAATACAAGATCACATCCCGTTCGAATGGCCCTTAAATTTACAGACTGCCTGACAAACCCAATTTAAAAAAAAATACTAAGAAAAGATTACTAAAAAAAAATACTAAGAAATGGATTTATAACAAAAATATTAAAATATATATGGCTACGCAATGCTTTCAACTGACACAATAATATAGCGCCTTTAAATTACTATAATTTGCACATGTTCTCAGCAAAAAATGTGATTTAATTCATCAGCAGTTCACTTAATTTTAATGGATTCATAGCCATATATTTAAAAATAAAACATTTTGCCCACTCTTTTTGCCAAATTTTTTTTCAAAGTTAAAGTAAATAAAACAAAAATTATTAGTGCGTTTTACAAGAAAATACAATTTCATCCTTTTTACTTCAAAATTAGCCGTTTCTTTGAAATTTAGTAACAATTTCTGAATGAAATTTTTTTTTCACAATCCAATTTTCAAACCAATAAAGATGTTGAGTTTGAGAAGTGTCCTTGATTTACTCCTTTACATAACTCAAACACTTCAATAACCAGGTGACCTATACATTCTCAAACATCTCTTTATTAATAATCCATTTCTCATGCTGATCAACTCAAAACTAACAGACCTTCGACCCTTTTAGGCTCTGCGTGAGCTGTTCTTACTGCTAATCGCAAACTTCGCCATAAAACTTTTTTGACTAGTCACCCGCTCTGTTCCCCTCCAGCGGCCCATGGCCGACCCTGCGGCTACACTTGTCCTCTCGGGCTGCCGGGGTCGGCTGCGTTGCCCCAGAGTGGGTCCAGTCGCCCGCCTCCCTGGTGCTCGGGTAATGGACTGGCAGGAAACCGGCTTCCTCCGAGCGCTGGAGACACTGTAAAACGTTAATGGCTCACCGTGGGGATCCGCGGTTGAGCCGGGGCCCCCGAACCAACCCCATTATTCATTAGGCGAGAACGTTATTTATTGCCTCCCGGCACAAACACAACAAGCCAATTAATAATTAAGCATTTCTATCCGCCTCTGTACCAGTGTGCGCAGATGAGGAGGACAGGAGATATGAGCGCGAGCGTGAGATATGGGCGGCCGTGAGCAGCATAACTTCAGCACTATTAAGGAAAATGGCAGTTAGGACCCAACCGTTGTCTGGAGAGACTCGGAGCCAAATCCAGACGAAGCGAAGCAGAACCGCTGCTGTGGCTTTTGTCCAAAATCTAGTGCTCTAAATCCAGCCTCTTGTACATTTAGTAATTAATATCAATAAATAATGTCAATATAAATCTGATGAACAGGGCCGAATCTGAGTTTTCTTTTTTTATATATATATATATACAGTGGGTACGGAAAGTATTCAGACCCCCTTAAATTTTTCACTCTTTGTTATATTGCAGTGATTTTAGCAAATGGCTGCAATATAACAAAGAGTGAAAAATTTAAGGGGGTCTGAATACTTTCCGTACCCACTGTATATATATATATATACTGTATATAAACTACAGGTCTTCTGATTAAAAGAAAAACATTACGTGCCCCCTGCACAGGCTTTGAATGGATGGAGAGAGTAATTTATCTCAGTTCGACCATCTCAGGAGATCTGGATGCCCAGACTAAAACTACAAACATCTCTGCACAGGTTTTACAAGATAATTTACATGACGTGAATTCACATGAAAATATAGATGCACATAGTTCACACTATGAGCATGTCACATTGAAGGTCACACAACTAAGATGCATTAACATCCACAATTAGATCCAAATGGTAATTAATCTACACAAAACGGAGCCTAAACCTCAAATTGCAGACTATTAATCATGTAATCACATGGATTCAGTCAGGTTTACTGAATAGACCAATTATAGGTTTGTAAACATTCAGGATGCATAAAATAAATATGTAAAAATGTTAATAGTAAGGTTTAAATAATATTTCTAATAGTAAGGTTTAAATAATATTTCTAATAGTAAGGTTTAAATAATATTTCTAATAGTAAGGTTTAAATAATATTTCTAATAGTAAGGTTTAAATAATATTTCTAATAGTAAGGTTTAAATAATATTTCTAATAGTAAGGTTTAAATAATATTTCTAATAGTAAGGTTTAAATAATATTTCATGCTGTAACTGTAGGGCTAATACAATACGTCCCCTATGAACAGCATATGTGAATATTATGTAGACCTATTGTTTAAATCGAATTTATGCTTTAAAAGTAGAGTAATCATAACAGTTTTCATCCATAGTATGTCCATTTAAACGTCTGCGTTTAGCTTCAAATGGCGTGTTTGACGACAGTATTCTATAAAAATTATTTGCATTCCGATCTTGACATCAAAAGGCACAAAAATATTTTTTCTTTTATTCCATGGATTTTACCTATTTACCTCCACTTGTTCCCAGTGTTTTTCTGCACCCACTATGCGCACGCAGCTGCAAGTGACGTAACTGTGACGTCTACTCTGAATTGGTCTATAGAAACGGTTTGTGTGCCTTCACTATATCAAAATATCGAATTATGTATTTTCCCCGAGTAATTAATTCCTTTATTTTATGCTGCTTCATAAAAAGCTATATTGAAAAAGACTGTGTTGATAAATTGGTATATAGTGCATTTTCTGCTAAATTTAAAATGAATTAAGCAGTAAAACAGAATTAGTGTCGAAACTTCATGTAGACCGACAACTGTGCTTAGCAGCGGCAGGACAGTTTATGAAGCTATTGCAAAAAGCTTCTTTTGTTCAGTAAACAAAACTACAACAATAGTTAAAAATCCTTCATTATAACCTGGAAAGAAAAATCCTGCAAACACCATAAATGTTCAAAATATTCACGACCCATCTGTACACTTCAAATGAACTTTCTTCATCACAACCTGAAAAGTAAAACCCTGTAATGAAAAATCCTGCAAACAAAAACTTATTAGATAGCAATACTGTTCGTAGCATGTCCTATTTACACACATATACCACACATCTTGTCTATCGGCTGAACGGGCCGGCCGTTTTACTAGCAGACCCCTGAGATGCAAGTTAAGACCTTCTACCCAACTATTTTATCAGTCTACTCTTACTGGAAGTGCATTGGCTGACCTGTAGCTCCAACTGCAGTTATATTGATTGGCTGTGGGCATTCTGGGGAGGCACGGCGGGGGTTTAGCCAAGACGTCGTCCTGATCGAGCCGAGCTTTGTCTCTGCTTCACCTCGGTCAAAAGAATGCTGGATAATCATTATCTGAAACAGAGTTATGGAACAACACAATCGAACAGAACTGATTCTGAAGATACGTTCAAAAAAGGAAGCAGTGAATGTCGTAACACAGGAACGTTCTTCCTATTAAAGGATTTTTGAAATGAATTAATACTTTTTTTTATTTAGCAAGGAGGCATTAAATTGATCAACAGTGACAGTTAAGACTTTCATAATGTAACAGAAGACATTACAAATTTAATTTCATTTCAAAATTTCAGATATTTCAAATAAATTCTATTCTTTTGAATTTTTTTTTACTCAAAGAACACTGAAAGAACAAGTGTATCACGGTTTCCACAAAAAAAACACCATTAAGCAGCACACCTGTTTTCAACATTGATAATAATGAGAAATATTTATTGAGCACCAAATCATACTAGAATGATTTCTGAAGGATCATGTGACACTGAAGACTGGAGTAATGATGCTGAAATGCAGAAATGAATTACATATTAAAATATGTTGAGATAGAAAACAGTTATTTTAATTTGTAATAATTCATAATAGTACTGTTTTTACTGTATTTGTGATAAAATAAATGTAACCTTGCTAAGCATAATATCCTACCAACCCCAAAGTTTTGAACATTAGTGGATATAGAAACTAATAATTACATACATTTAAAATATAATCAATATATAAATAACTATAATCAATATTTTTTTTAGATTTTATATGCATCTTTCTGCCTATTCAGAACTGTAACAAAAGCGTAATGACAGTTTAACCTACAATAATTATGCAACTTAATCAAAAAAATGTTTTGCATTAAACCCCTCCTTAGCTCAAACATATTCAGTGAGCACATGCCCCCCTCAGTTTTAAAGGGCATGACGCTTCTGAAAGCAGACATTCAATTTCATGGCATATGAAGTTTACACTGATTTCAATGTATTATCGTGGCTCATCTTTGCAAAGGTTTTTGTGTGGAGTTAGGGCAGCACTCGTCTTTTGTGTGTGTGTGTGTGTGTGTGTTGCTCATTTGAGTTTCTGCTCGATTGGCCAGCCTAATGTGGCCAGGCTCTGTCGCCCCTGGTAATTGTGCTCATTTCATTTTGGCAGCCTGCGAGGAGCTTGTCCATCACTACAAAGTATAATATATAACACTTATTCAGAAGTGTGCATGTGTGCTGGTGTGTGAGAAAAGGGGAAAAAAATAGGACACAGGACACGTGTGTATGAAGACATAAGCATGTGGAGGGACGTTTATCGATTACAGCAATTACAAAAATGACATTAAAATAAATATATTTAAGGAGCTTGTGTGAGAATAAAGCCATTAGTGAGAATAACTACAATGAATGATGCTACTAACAAAACTATTCTAGTGTTTATGCAACTTACTGTAACTACAGACTCTAATTATAAGGAGTGTAGAACAACAAAAAGCTACATTGATCATTTTTGTTTTGTTCTCTTAAAGTGCCCTCAGATGAAGTATTGGGAATTCTTTTTTGTGATAAATTACTGCTCTGCTCAGAAAGATAACAGCTTGTATCTTCACTTGCAACAGTTTCAAAGTAGCTTCAACTCTGCAGAAAGGCTATAGTGATGTCATCAAACTCATCATTATCATTATTATGAAATCTTTTCATTTGCTACAAAAGAAGCATCGCTTCTCTGACTTGGAGCAAAAAGGCTGGATAATTAAGTTTTAAGACGTGCCATAAATTTGTGTGTGAGCATGTGCATCTGTGCATACGAGAGTGAGTGTGTGAGTGTGAGTGTGTGTGTGTGTGTGTGTTGTAGCTCATCTCTCCTGGCCATATGGGGCACAGGAGAGGAACCCTGCACACAGATGGCAGATCGTACAGCATTTTCTCTTCCATCTATCTCACGATGCTCTCTTTTATCTCTCTCACTCTCACTCCTACAGAGTCAACTTTCATGCATAGACACACTCTCTCACTTTCTCTCAAATAGTCAACTTTCATGCACTTTTCATTTTTATTATTAAAAACACATACATGCACACACCCTATGAAACTCACACCTATTCCTACATATTTGATCTGAAATCTCAAGAAATGACAGCTGGCAGCTACTTCATGTAAAACTATTTAATACACAATGCCTAAGAAAGAAAATCATTTTTTGGTGTTAATTATGTATTATGCAGGTTTTTTTTTTTTTTTTACATCTCTCATTAAATAAACTACATTAAATAAAAAAATTTATTTATTTGGCTTTAAATACATTTTAAAAAATGTAAGAAAAATGGTGGGGGAGAAAATTTTTTTTCAAATGTAGTCTTATAAATAACGTATTTTATACATATAAATTGATTATGAATTATAAATATAGAGCTGCATGAACTCCACAAGTTTGTGTCAAAATTGCTTCCTATAAATAAAAAAATAATGCAAAATCCTATAATAAATCGATTTTACATCAACTTTATTCCCAAATTAATTTTGTCTTTACTAACTACATAAATGTTAACTTGCTCTTACAGGCAGGGAAAGCATTCATTTGCAAGCTAGAAGAAAAGTCACATTTTTATGTATTAGCATTTATAGCCGAGGCCTATGTAGGTAAATTACATGATATTATACATCTTGTACACACATCTTTTTGCCAACGTCAACAGTTATGAAAATCAATTGAATGTGATTGGTTAATTTCTTACATGAATCAGTCAGCTTGCAAAGTGAATAGAAATCTTTAACTATCAGTATCATCAAATTAAGATGCCGATTCTGTAAGTTAAGTATAAAATAATTCCACCGAGAAATCTGAACGCACACACTTGCACGCAAATGTCACTATATTAATTTCATAGTGGCTCATCATTTTGATGAAGTAAAAGAGAGGGGGGAGAGGGAGGACAAAACAAGCTGTGCACAGCCGGGAGGGAGAAAAATATCACATTTTCCAGGTGATGAATTTTTCCAATTTCTCGCAGACAAGTACATAAACTCTTTCAATTAGGAGCAGAATCTGGAAACGAGGGACTGTGGACAGTTGGAGAGCCCGAGCCCTGATGGCTAATTTTATTGAGTGGAAAATTGAATCAAATTGTTTCATTGAAACAATCAGCCTGTACTCCTTATATTCCACTCAACACAGACACAAACTAATGCAAAAAATACAAAAACGCCACTATACGGTTCACACTCTTTTGCCAGGCATTACTTAAATGGATCATTTGAGAGTTGAGAGCTCAAAGAGCCCAAACTTGCCCAGCCTGTCACAAGAAAAGACGCATAGTCATTAGATTAAATTAAAACCAACAGATTTCTGACTGTAGAGGAGCCATAACTCCGGTCATTTCCATGCATGCGGAGCCGGATCCGTCTCCGTCCTCGGCGGGACATTAGAGCAGGTCTTCGGTGCCCTTTAACTGTAAACTGTCCATCTGTTCTACAGCGTTAAGCGTGCCAATGCTTCCCTCTGAGGGTCACATATCGAAGCAGACATAAGAAGAGACCTCCTTGTGGTTTCACATGAATGCATTTCACCAATGAGATCACCTCAAATAATGAGAATTCACTCTGTATTAGCAATAAGTTCAACAGGAGTTGGTCTGTCCAACAGACCCTGCAGAAATAACTTATTTATGCGGTCATTATATATCTTACATAATATAATGGCAGTGGAGAGAGCTAATGTATTCACCGAGCTCATGGGCCTGTATCCAAATAAATATGCTGTGAAATTAAATATTAACCGCATGAATACATTATATTTATTTAGTGCACAAACCTCTGTCTGAAAAAAGGGACATCTTATTGAGCCTTTTATCAAGGTCTTATGTCAAATGTTTTCATAGTCTTGGCTCTAGAAATAGTCTAGAAACTAGATTAATTAGATAGTTTCCCATAATAGTCATTATCATAATCATTAAGGATGTAATTATTGATAGTTTATTACATTTTCCACTGACTAGAGCGTATTCAACCATGAATGTGCAAGTTTAAAAAGGTCAAAGACAATTCTTAGACCATCGCCATATAGAAAAACCTATACACTATAAAAGTTGCAAATAAAACTGATTATTGATGTATGTTTTACAATACAGCTACTGTCTTTCTATCTCAAAATGTCATGTTTAACTCAATGTTACTTGTGTTTCTTTGTAATTGTGAAATTTACTAACTATTTCTGAGTAAAAAATTTTTGTACACCAATTTTTCAGTTTAGAAAATGGTCGGACATCCTCCTGGACAGGAGTCCTCAAAGCTAGTCTAACAACGAAGCAATTTACCCAATAAGTTTCTTGCCCAAAATGCTAGAAATCAATGCTTGCCAATGAAAAAGAGCTGTTCACATGTTTACACGTCAGAAATACCTCAGCAAACCTCTAAATCCATGAATAATTAGTGACAAATCAATAACCCAAATTGAAATCTCTCCTAAGCTCATAAACCAACAAAGCAATGCAGATAAACTGCTGTACGAGATGTTAAAGTGACAGTGAGAACTAATAACTAAGAGAACCAATCGGCTGGTTACTGGTGAGGCCATGTCCACACGTACACGGGTATTTTTATAAACGGAGTTTTTCCTTCCGTTTTTAAAAAAATCTCCGTCCACATGAAAACGCATGCGCATGCTATGAAGCACTGTCAAGAGCATGCCAAACCAACAGGTGGCGATATAATCTTAACCGTGAAACCATGTTGGCCAATCAGGAGCCTGAAAAAGTTTCCAGTAGGCGGAGATAACAGCGCAGGCTCCAACGTCACAAGCCAAAAACTCAGGCTTCACTGTCTACACGACAACACTGCAACCGGAGTTTTTGAAAATCTTCACCCTGGCAGGAGTTTTCAAAAATGTTCGGTTTCAGTAAACTGGTGCGTGTGGACGAACGGCCAAACCGCGTAGAAAAAGCTGCGGTTTTAAAAATAACCGCGTTCGTGTGGACAGGGCAAAATCAGCAGAAACTACTGAAAGCAAAGTGGCGATTTAAACCACCACAGGATCTGTAATGAAATGACTAGCATGACTTGGCCTACTACTGAAAATTCACAAGTTATGAA